ATTTTCATGGGTTCTTTTGCATGCTTTTCGAATATGATTAGTTTTAAAAGGTTTTCGTCTTATACATTATCAGAGAAAAAGGCGTCCCAACTCCTCCTCTTTCGATTGACGAAAACCGCAGATCGCTTGCTATTGCGGTTGTCGAGTTATTGAGCTTATACCCACCCCTATTTAATTCTGGCGCCGACAATAATTAAGATCTCTTATTCCAGAGTTTCAGCTCTCTATCTGTGATTAGTGGTGAAATACATCGACAAGACTGAATACATGAATTTTCGAAATTAACATAGCAGAGTAGTGATATGAATAGTCAGTCAAAACATCACAAGGCATTTAGAAAATTTTCTTCCGCATCAGTCTATGTAGAGTCTCTTCCGCTGATTATTTTGGTAAAAAAGAATTCGAATTTCATTGAGAGATGTCGATGTTCTAGTCAAAACATTTGCCATAAAAACAAAAGATATCCGATTTTTTTCAATAGGAATAGTTTATAAAATGTTCAATCAAGAGTTATTATTCATCCTACTTATCTGTATCTGTTAAACCGATTATGAAGTTTTGTAGAGAAAACTTTCCTCTACAAAACCTCTTACTTCACGTTTCTCCGCAATATAGCCTTCTTGAGATAATCAATCGACTTACCCGCATATTTGACAGTGTTTAGTATTTTGTCGGTAACATCGTCATTTCTCAACGAAATCTGAAAAGCATTTTTACCAAAATAATCAACGGAAAGAGTTCTACAAAGTCTGATGTGCAAGAAAAGTTTCTGAATGCTTTGTGATATTTTGAATGAGTATTTATGGAACCACTCTACTATATTTTCACAGAAAAAATATTGAAAAATCGATTTAAAAAATCGATGTACTTAGTTTTGTCAATGTATTTCACCACTAGTTAAAGCTAGAGAGCTTAAACTTCCAGGAACAAAAGATCTTAATTAGTCATATACATGATAAAAATTTTAGCCCTCAAGGTCGAATAAAAGTATGAAAAAATATGAATCACAATTTATCCTCAGTTATTTCCGAACACCCTTTAGCTCTAAACTCATGTAGTCGCAAAAAGTTGGGAACAGAAAAGTTTTAAGAAATATATTTTCTATTAGATACAGTTTATTAGCTATGTTTCTGAAAACAACTGCCCAGATTGGCATATGCGGACTTCATAAACGGCTGCATCTTTTCATTCATAGTAGTGTTTGATGTTTTAGATCGCACATAGTCAAAAATATAGCCTAAATTACCACAAGATACACTGTAATGAACACGAATACGACTCATTTGATAATTGATATTACAACAACGTGACTCAAACATGTAAACATATGCTCAAAATAGTCATAATAATGATCTTTTCAGTCAGAGATGTAGCTCGAATGATCCTGTGCTAGGCCGTAAACACTACATATATGATCGCGTTGATGATGATTATGGTCATATATAATAAAACTGTGACCTATTGTGCTATCTTTATAGAGATTTTTGGCAATGTTGGTTTACGTGTAGCACACACACGGTCCTTCAGACTTTATCCGTTGTCAATTAAGTCATAGTCATCATTTGGTTACTGCCTTATAGAAACCGATGAACAGAAGTAAACTTTCTTTCCTTCACTATGATTACATCAGTCTAAGACTAAGTGAATCGACTCTTTATGCACGCTAGTTGTTTCGATATAGGACCGTTTACGATCGTTCTAATTCATCCTAAGTAGTGAACTGACTTACCTTCTGGCAATGCATCCTTTCGACCCGTAAGCATCGATAGCAGTGGTGATGCTTCCATACCCCTAAACTAAAGACATAAATAAAACAGGTGATTGGCTGATAATTGATCATGACATTTTCGCTTAACAATCTTCTAATGTATGCAAGCGAAGAGTAGAATATTTCATGATTACTGTCTTACTGAAGTCGTTTGTATCCGTTGATCCGACAAAACCCAACCCTTCACTTCCACGCAGTGTCGGATGGAAACGTCATTTTCGACGGCTAAGACGGGCTCTGGTAAGCGCCTCAGGGCTAGCCACTCGAGGTGTGCCTCACATTGACTCCGAAAACAACAATCGAAGAACCCATTCCGAACAACAGTCTTTCGACTCGTTGTATGCATGCAAGGATTTCACAAAAATCCGAACCTATGATAAGGCAGGTACCTGTCTTTGAAAATGCAACGTCGGTTCGAACAAAAACCAAAACCAAAAACTCAAAAAACATAAAAACACACCACAAGATCATCATCATATCTACCTACAACGTACGTACTCTCAAGCAAACTGGAAAACTACATCAACTTATATATAGATGCAACAAAAACAACATCGACCTAGTGGTAATCCAAGAACATCGTTGGCAAACATCAGAACAAACGAGCACGTGTTATGCAACACTCACTAATGCATCATGGCGCTTTGAGTACTCTTCAGCAACACCAGAAGGACACGGAGGTATTGGATTGCTTATAAATCCTAGAATGTCAACATTTTTCGGTTCATCAGAAAAGATATCGAATCGCATCATGATGGTACACTTCAAAGGCAACCCGGCAATAACAATCATCATTGCCTATGCACCTACGGAAGATAAAATGATGCAGAAAAAGATGCCTTCTACGATGATTTAGAAAAGTGTACTCATGATGTTCCACCCCACAATGTCCTCATTACTGCTGGTGACTTCAACGCAAGAATTGGCTCTGGCAGCCACACAACAAACCCACGAACAATTGGCAAATATGCATACCACCAATCAACCGACGACAACGGCAACCGGCTCATCAATTACTGTGAAGCCTGCAACATCCTTTCAACACAAACTGGTTTTCCAAAACGACCATCAAGATCATGAACCTGGTTACACCCAAATAACAAATCCAAAGCTCAACTTGATCATATCCTCATAAATGGCAACTGGCTAAACTCAATTCGAAATGTTCGTGCATACAATACAGTTAAGTTGAACTCTGACCATCGCATTGTGAGCGCCAACCTATCAATCAGCCTCCGTGTACCCAAAGATAACAAATGCAAAAGGATCAAGTTCGACTGGAACAAACTGAAGGACAACTCCAAACTCCAATCTCAATTCAACATAGAAGTTCAAAATCGTTATGAAATCTTGCACAACATCAATCCCGACAACGACATTCAAACAAAATATGACAACTTCGTAAGAAGCATACAAAAACCAGCAACAAACTCAGTGGGAAAATCAAAACGGGAAAATAGACAGAGTTGGATCTCCACTGATACCATTGACCTTCTCAAACAACGAAATAAAGCCAAAGCCAAGTTCAAACAACACCCAAGCAAATACAACAAAAATTACTGGCACAAGCTCAACGAACAGCTCGATACATCTTACAAAAACGACAAAATCAAATTCTTAGAAGACAAACTCGAACAACTTAGACAAGCAGTCGCAGCAAATCAATTACGAACAACGTGGTCCCTGGTAGACTAAATTAGCGGCAAACGTAGGTACAACAACGCATCCAAGATCAAACGAACAGACGGCACCGAAATCAACTCAACCAATGAACTCATGAAAGAATGGAAAACATATTTCGAAGACTTACTCAATGTCAAATCAAACACTTCTCAAGATATTCAAGCAATTTCACCAGCTCTTGAAGACTTACCTATCAATCGAGGCCCTATCACAATCAACGAAGTGGAACAAGCAATCAAACAATCAAAAAATGGAAAATCCTCTGGATTTGACTATGCAATTACACCTGAAGTACTCAAATATGGTGGCAAATGGATAATAAACCAACTGTGCAACATATGCAACGAGATCTATGAAAATCAACAGACACCAAAGCAATTCAACACCAACATTATAATACCAATACAAAAGAAAGGTGATAAAACGCTTATGACGAACTACAGAGGCATTAGTCTTATGCCAGTCGCAGCTAAGATGTATAACAGAATCCTGTTAAATAGAATACGAGAATCATTTGACTCGATTCTTAGGATAAACCAAGCAGGTTTCAGGAAAGAACGAAGTTGCATTGACCAGATGCATGTCCTACGTAGGATCCTAGAAAGCGCCATCGATAAGAAACTTCCAATCTTCATAACTTTCGTCGACTTTAAGAAAGCCTTCGATTCAATCAGTAGAAAAACAATGTTCAACATCTTAAGACACTATGGAGTGCCTATCAAAATAGTCAACGCAATTGAAGCCATATATCATGACTCCAAGAGCGTAGTTCTCGTAGACGGCAACGTCTCTGAAGAATTCGACGTGACGACTGGAGTCCTACAGGGAGACACATTAGCCCCCTTTCGTTTCATAATCGTGATCGACTACGTCATTAAGAATGCCCAGTTAGGTCATACAAACGAAAAGGAAGAATATGGCTTCGTAACTAATAAGCGACAATCTAGTCGACAACCAACAACAGCTACACATGACCTTGATTTCGCCGATGACATAGCTCTTCTTGAAAACAGCTTTGAAAGAGCGCAAGCACAACTCAGTCAAACAGCTAAATGGGCAAACAAAGTAGGTCTACAAATCAATATCAAGAAAACTCAACTACTGACCAATCAAAACACAAATAATCAATCAATACAACTCAATGGACAAGACATAGAACGAGTCGATAATTTTAAATACCTCGGTTCAGTGATGTTATCCAGTACTACTGATATCAAAGTAAGAAAAGGTCAAGTATGGAAAGCCTTCTGAAAAATGAAGAACATCTGAAAATCAACAACAATTCCAATTCATCTCAAAATTAAGATCTTTCAAGCTTCATGTCTCTCAATATTATTATATGGTTGTGAAAGCTGGATCATCACAAACAAGCTCGAGAACACCCTCAACAGCTTCGCCACCAGCTGCTACAGAATAATTCTCAACATTAAACGACTAGACAAAATATCAAACAACAAAATCTACGAAATGATCAAACAAGAACCTGTTACACAAACAATACAACGTCGACAATTGTGCTTCATTGGGCACTGTCTCCGTAGAAACGCAAACGAATTTATCAACATGTATGCTCCTTACACACCGAAACCTGGCCATGGAAAACGCAAGCGTGGGCGTCCCCGTTTAAATTATCCTGATTACGTCGCAAGACTGATCAACAACGACGAACCACCAACAACTGACGAAATCCGGAAGACTGCTGCAAGCAGGGAAAACTGGCGTAAGATTGTTGTCGCTCGCAAACCCTGTCTGTTTGCAGTCGAATGATGATGATGATGCATCAGTTGATATCAGTAAACTTTGAGAAACAACTTAACTTACATTCAGTGATGCCGATCCTGATTTCAACAGACGTAGACATCGTGAACCTTAAGAAAAAAAAACGAATACTAACATGGATACGGTAAGGATGTGAGGGTACACATGCACAACTCGTGCCAAAAATTGAAAATCTCCGATTTTTATTAACTACAAGGGTCGATTTCGAGTGAATTTTTGGGCTTTTTTGGAAAATTTTATCGCAAATATCTCCTTGACACTCCACAATTTTGAATCCTTGATGTGGTCTCCCGGTGACTGTGCATGAAGGGAATACTATCATATCCACGCTGTCTTTCTGATTCTTATATTCCATGTCACACTTACTTTCTTCATACATCTCTTGATTTACTGGGTTGGCGACCACCTTTTCTAAACATCTTATAGCCAAGGGAATATCCAATCGACTGGCATATATTCCAGCCAATTTACGGTAAATGGTTATAATTTTTGGATCTGTAGCGGGTATCAAAATTTTATAAATATGCAGTGACTTTTGAAAGAGTGGGCATGCTGCTTGAAAATTAGATTGAGTCATGCAATAATCAGCATATTTAAATTGAGCTTCAGCTAACTCCAGAAAGTAGGGTTTTTCAGATTTATCGATACTTTTAGAATCTGGTGGCATGACAGCATAAGCATCATTGAGATAGTTTTTAGCAAGATTATCATTTTTTGCCTTTTGATAAACTGACCCTATACGAAGATAAATGGTTGCCAGTTTTACGTGAGATAATGCTGTGGGATATTTTTGACAATAAAATATGGCCCTTTCATGTAAACGTGGCACATATTCAGGTTCGAAGGTCTTTGAATAAATCATAAGTAAATCAGCAAGAATGAAATTAAGAGTTTGTTGCTTAATTTCTAAAGAAACTTCCTTCGTAATTTTTCGTATTGGATGCTTTGGTATTGCCGACTCTAATGCAAAACGAAAATGATTTTCGGCTAGTAAGTTATTTGCCATATTTGTATATAAATATCCAATGAAGAAATGGGTGCTTGCAATATCAAAGCTTAGCAAAGACATTTCTTGGATAAAAGTAGAAAGTGCTTTTTGAAAACCTTCTAATGCATCGCTGTCTAATGCGTTAATCAGTTCCTTAATGCTATTTCTAAAAATTGAATAAGCTACAGTCCGCTCGATATTGTACAGATTATGTTTTGAGTTTAATAAATTTGGTGGAAGTGAATTACGCGCTTTGAATAAATTATCCTTGGCTAAATCGAATTGATGTTTTCGGACATGAATCTTTGTAATGGAAGAATAAGCATTAGAGATAGTTTGGTGCACTGGCGGTTGTATGTATGTAATATATATATTTACTGCTTTTGTGTACGCTACTAGAGCTGCATCAAGTTCATTGAGTTTCATTTTCTGATTGCCTTCATCGCGATAAATATCACCTAAAAGTAGCTGATATTTTGAAAACCACGGGAAATCTGATGGCAGAATTTCTATTGCACCATTAATACTGGATAAAGCTGAAACTAGATCTTGTTTTTTGAAATATGCGTATGCTGTTTTGTAATGTAATTCAGCTAGAAAAATAGTTCCTGATGGCATCTTCTGTTGCCAATATAGCAAAGTTTTATTGATCAGTTCTAAGGCCGAGTCATAGTCGTTTTTCTTCAACAGTGCTTCCAATGCTTCCGTAAATCGCCGAAATTCAAGAACAGCACGTTCGAGAGGTGTGGCCATTTCTTTAAAACGAGTTTCAAGTATCTTTATATCTTTATTAGTAGCTGAACCGTCTTTCATTGATGCAGCCAATGACATTAACTCAATATCTCCGAAATTCTGTGCAATCATACCAGGCAAATTATCGAAAAGTTCGTCCAGATAAAAATTCTTTTTATCAACATCTTTTTTGGCATCATATAACTGGGATAAAGTAAAACATGTCAAAAGATATTTAGGATGACATGGAGAGAGTGATTTGCGTAAAATCTCCCATGATTTTGTAAAACTGTCAAGCGCATCTCTAGATAAGCCTGTTGTTAACTGTGCTGCTCCTAAATAACTATATGTTATTCCGATATCTGGATGGGTATTGGGTAAGTGTTTGAGTTGAATTTCGAGTCCTCTTTTCAGTTCAGTCAACATTTTGGATTGCTCACCACAAATAGTCGATATATTACCTAATTGAATATACACAGCAGCTAATTGTAAGTCATATGAAGGTGCATTTTTCGAAAATATCTCTGCTGCTTTTTCTAAATTCAATCGTGCCGATATAACATCACATTGAAGAAGTTGTATTCGTCCCATGTTCAGATAAAGTGAACCATAACATGGATGTGACATAGGATAAGACATTTGAAAAATCTTCTCTGCTTTTTCTGAGTACTCTATTGCTTTCTCAATATTGCTTTGATTTAATCCGATAGTACTCATTTGAATATATGTGTTCCCAATCGAGGGATGATTTTCAGGTAATTGTTCCAGTAACAGTTTGAAATATCTCTCCGCTTTGAGAAGTTCACCCATATCGATAAGAAGTGAACCGAGTGTTTCTAAATTTGTCGATTGACCAAGTGACTTTTTCATGTATGTTAGTAGTTCTACATCCTCCTTGCTTGACCATACCAAATTCACGTTCCAAATTCCTTGTTTATCTTGTTCAACTTTTTCAATAAAGAATGTTGAACCCATAGCTATTAAAACTTCATTTTCCTCCTTATGATAACTTTTACTCTTAATATTGGCAAACGGTTTTGTAGCTAATGTAGAATCAATTTCAATTTCAAACAAGACAACAGCTAAAGAGGAATGTGTAGTGCTATGCTGGACGAAGTCTAATGCTGTCTGCTTCGAAGTACTCGTGGATAAAAATGTATTCATCGAAATACGACCCTGAGTGTTTTCCTTAATTTTAGTCAATTCTTTCATGGTCATGTACTGGCCACGATAAACATATACGATCGACGGTACTGATGTAATATAAGTTGCATGCATTTTTGATAATTCTTCGTAGAGATCTTTTATAAAAAATCGAAACTTGAAAATAACATCGATGTTATCTGTTCGTAGCGCTTTGTTTACAATTTTATATAGGAAACATTCGCGTGTATACCATGCAATAGCATTTTCTGCACAATATTCTTTATCGAATTCTTGAATAATATCGATTTCTCGTTTATTATCATAATATTGTTGTCTGCACTCCTTTAGCATATCACTTTTGGCTTTTTTCGAACTGGGAAATCGAAGTAGAGCTTCAACAAGTACTTGCGACCATAAATATTTTACACTTTGCTGATTCAAATCAGTTACTTGATTTTGCTTTGAGTCCGGACTCAGAATAGCTATTGATAATAAACTAGCATCAGACAATCGAACATCTTCAGTCAGTTGTTTGTAAAGTTTTTGTTTGTTGGTAAAAATATCTTGCACTATGCGATGTTTTGATGCCCATTTTTTGTGTTTTTCAGTATTTTGGCAAAAGACATAAACGACACGAATTTGTGGAAGATTTTCAATCTCTGGTACAACTTTTTCACCATATGCACCGGATACAATAAGAAAAACTTTTTCTTCTTTCACAGCTTTAATATAATCAATACATTTGGCAGAGTCATTAAATGTTTTTAGATAATTAATGATACTTTGCAGATGCTTTTTGGTATCAATACAATCTGCTGAGGTGTCGATTCTGGCATCAAGCCATATAACAGTGAATTCTTCAAGATTTTCATTTAATTCCAAGCCTACCGACTCTACCGCCGGTCTTTGTCTAGGCAAGCTACTCATGTTTTGTGTACGGTAGATACTACTTTTGTATTAACCGAGGAAAGGGTATTTGATTATGCGCACGATTTGTCCACGATTGAATATCCTATTGGACAACAAGTTAAAGTAAATACAAGGTGTCTCAAACAAGGATGAAAAACAAATTCTGATGGATTCTATGGTTACACCCGAGTCCAATGTAATTTAACAGATTCTTAGAAACCTACGAGAATCCATCAGAATCCAATACTATCTATTAAGGGCCGGGATCTAGAATCTGTTCTTTCTCCCTTGGATGACAATGTAGATCATTGTCAACTCTGATGTCAATGTTAGCGTGGATGTGAATCAAAATCATACAAAGGAGTAGTCAACCCTAGGATCAACCGAAGAGGATGAATATAGGTAGCTTTTAAATTACGAAGAGAAATAGATTACAAGAAAGGATAACAAAAACTTCATCAGCAAACTACTCATCGCTTCGCAAGTGTGTATTCTGTGGCTACTGGCAAAAGTCTCATTGGTGAAGCTACGAAATCTCGTAATAAACCCTTACCATACAGGTATCTATAGTGTAAACGTGAGTCCAACTTCTCTTCTTATTCGCTCCCAAGCCTTTTTTCAATATTTTTATGTATCTTCTCTATTTTCATCCCTTGATATTCCTTTGGCTATGTTTTCTATATACATGATTCACACGTGTGTTAACCACCACATTTTTCAGGATGTATAACAAAATGCCTAACAACTAGATACCTGCAAACTGGTCAAGGTCACGGTCACGCGTGGCCGTGACCGTGACCGTGACTAATCTTTGAAAAATCTTCGTGATCATGACCGTGACTGATAAATCGTGGTCAGGTCACGCAGATCTCTAAAACTGACTCAGCTTTCAATTGAATTTCGAAATAAAAAATCTATTTTTCTATAATGGTCCTATTCAAAATTAAATTTGAATTAAAATCAACGAAAAAATGTAAGAAAAACAAGAATATTGAATAGTATAAACTAAAACACTATTTCAGTTTCTAAATTTTCTTCTTCACTTTCATAATCATCACTTGAGAAATCATATTTATCTTCTTCAACAGCTTTAATTTCCTTCAGAATGTCAGAACTATCATCATTATCTTCTTCAAATGCATCATTAGGTTTTCTTTCTCGCATATTTGTTGTGGATAGAGACTTGGAAAATGGTCACGATCACGGTCACGCGTGACCGTGACCGTGACTAACCTCGTAAAATCTTTGTGACCGTGACCGTGACCAAAAAACCGTGGTCACGCAGGTCTCTACTAACAACAGTTTGAAAGAGCGTTTTTTATGCGCATGTTCAGCAACATCGAGCATATCAAGTTTCACATTTTAATTACATCGGAACGACGCTAACAGCTTTTTCCTCGACCTTTTCAATATATGCAAGTCAAGAGTTAAGCGTCGATTCCGAAAAGGAAACATGTAAAATTGTTAGAGCATGAAAGCAGTATTGTAGTCGAAAGTTCTTAGGATATATTACAATTCAATTCGTGAGGCTTTGAATCGTCGTTCTCCGATGTACCCATCGGCCTCCATTTTTCAACCTTATGTTGCTTTATGGATGGTTTTGACAGAAATACATGTATCTTTCCCAGGCGAGCAAAGGACAGACAAAAAGACTAGTCGTCTTTCTAGTCATGACTCTGCGTCGTGCCCAGTCTTTTTCTCAAAATGGTCTCCATCTTGACTAATCCAAAATTGCTGGGAGTCTTATGTCTCCGTCTTGACTGGGTAAGTGACTGGCATCATTATATCTATTAAGCACCGTCTTTTTCGGCAAAAAGACTAACCATACACTCTAAAAAAAGGCGTTCTGCCGAACCTTTCAGATTTAGAACTGATTTGGGAAACGATTTTAAGTTCCGTATGATAAAAATCGTTCCGAAACTTTCTTACACAATCTTTTTAGGTTGCGAAAATTAAAGAGGGTTTCGAAAGTTAGCTACGAAACCAGTCAAAGTTTCGTTCAACGTAAACTAAACTTTCGATAGTCCCGTAATCCATGAAGAAAACCCTTAATAGTTTCGCATTGTACCTAAAAGCTCCGTAGAAATTGTGCCAAGCCGCTCATAGTTTCGTAAGTGCTGCAAAAGTTCGCCACAAATTGTACGAAGCTAGTCATGGCCTGGTGAACGACATACTAAACCATTCTGTCATTTATCAAGGAACGGATGGTTTCGCACATCATGTTCTGAACCTTTAGATACTATGTGAAACCCCAATGGCTTCGTAAATAGTATACGGAACTATCGAAAGTTCAGTATAGCATATAAAGGTTCAGCAGAACATCTCCGAAGCCATTTATAGTTTTGCATTCCTGAATGTTCCCCACAAATTTTAGGAAACCCCTAAAAGTTTTGGTAGAAGACAGACTAAACCATAATATCGTTTATGAAGCAATAAATGGCTTCGTGCAACGTATTCTGAACCATAACAACTTTTGCAAAACCATTGATAGTACTATTGAACCAATGAAGGTTTCATATATCGGTTACGAACCGGTGCAAAGTTTCGGCTAGGGGTGGAAAGTTACCGTTCCCAAACCGTTCCCGGGAACGGTAACGGTAACGGAAAAGTTCTCGCGTTCCGGGGAACTAGTAACATTTTCGATCATACGTTCCCGGGAACGGTAACGCCCATTACCAGTTCCCGGTAACGCGGGAACGGTCAAAAGATGTCTACCGCCATTAAACCCGTAGACTCCGTCTCCAAGTCCAACTATTGCGGGTACCCTTAGGTCCTCAAGTCCTACTATTGTGGGTACCCTTGGGACCGTAAGTCCTACTATTGGGAGGTGCCCTTGGGTCCTCAAGTCCTACTATTGAGGGGTACCCTTGGGTGCTCAAGTGCTACTATTGGGATTAGGGGTGGGAAGTTACCGTTTAGAGACCGTTCCTGGGAACTGTAACGGTAACGTTACAGGTCCCAGTTTCCCGGGAACGGTAATATCCCATTCCCCGTTACCCGAGAACGCAGGTAACGGTCAGGCGAGTAGCTAGCATCAATCTCATAGCCATGGTCCTCAAGCACATCTATTGGAGGTACCCTTCTGTCCGCAAGCCCCACCATTGGCGATACCGTTGTGTCCGCAAATGCTAGTGTAAGCAGATACCTTTGGCTCATAAACTGCTCCTATAGCGAGCTACACTCACCCCAACCAGAGCAACTATCACGTGATACCGTGTGTGCAACCAATGCAAAATTTGAACCAAATCGCTGTGCCGTCAATCAATTGTCCGGAATGGCGGGTGTCATTGGCCCAAGCACGTCAAAAAGTGGCGCGGTAACCTGGCCTCAACCCAGGCAAATTTTGCGCGGAACCCTCTGGCCATCAGGTTGAATAGCCAGGAAGAGGGGTGACCCTGGCCAAAGCATGGCAAAAAGTGTCGCGGTAACGTGGGTCCAGTCTCTGCAAATTTTGCGCGGAATCCTCTGGCCCTCAGGCTGAATGACCAGGGAGCGTGTGGCCCTGGCTAAAGCATAGCAAAAAGTACCGCGGTAACGTGGGCCCAATCTCCGCAAATTTTGCGCGGAACCCTCGGGCCGTCAGGCGGAATGGCCAGGGAGGCGGTGGTCCTGGCCATAGCATGGCAAAAAATGCCGCGGTAACGTGGGTCCAAGGGGGAAACAGCGGACTTCAAGACTTCAAGACTTCAAAAGACTTCAACAGACTTCAACAGACTTCAGCCGCAGTGACTTCATATTTTCACAAGACTTCTAAAGACTTCTGAAGACTTCATAGGACTTCAAATGACTTCGCAAGACTTCATAAGACTTCGTACGACTTCATGGGACTTCATGGGACTTCAAAAGACTTCCAAATACTTCGTTNGATAGAAGTTAATAATCCAATCATTAATCTCGTTTATGTTATAAAAATAAGTTTCTTTGTCAGGTTCTGCTTTCAATATTAATTTGCCTTCATAAATAACAAAGAAGCGAAATGGCCATGATCCATAGGTATGATGAAAAGTGTTATTCATATCATCAACAAGCATAAGCATTTCGAAGTTGAAGTTCTCCCTAAATTTCTGTGCATATTGAAGTCGTTGTGCAAGTGTTGTTGGTTGATCAACGCATGAAATCGTCTTTCCAACTGGCAATTGATCTCGTGCATGAGCTTCAGCAATATAAATTGCGAAGAAATTGATTCCATTTGGCGCATGTGAACGAACAAGCGCGCTAAAGAAAAATATGAGTGTTTCATATTTAGATTAGTAATAAGATATTTACTTCATTCGTTCGACATTCGCCCGAAATGGAGGTCAGCTAGTTGAACCGGCCAATATTATTAATGGTTGACCAGCTGTAATTTATGAGAAAAGAGTAGTAGGATGACCATCAATAGCATACAAATTGATATCACGAGCACATTGTCCCTGACTGACTAAACCTTGTGTAATTTTGTTGTGTTTGACTGAAAAGAAAAGTATGAAAAATTGAGAAACTCTAACAATTGGTCTTATGTTCAACGATTCAAATTTGAAAGATTGCTTGTTATGATTAGCAGTTTAAGAATAGTTCCTTTCCAATGACTTACCGTAAAAGGCTGCTTGGACGACTGGGTCATCTGGAAAGCGAAACACAGCTGTACGTAGTGCATTGACATCTCGATAGCCGAAATATTCTATAACATGTTGTTGAATGAGATCGTGCACGAAACTATAATTTCATGATAAAAACATTATCAAATCTTAAAAGAAAAAAAAACAAGATCATACTTACGTGACAGCAGTCCCATCAGTATGGTACTCATCCATGAGTTCTTGAATTGAATCAGACAAACGAAGACGTGTTTCATAGAGAATCATTTCATGAACTATTTCAATTGGTGGAATTTCATCAGATAATTTGATTGTATCAAAGCCTTTGTGACCCGATGTGGGAAAAAACATACGGCACTCCAGATATCTTCGTTGTATTTTAGGACGTGGTGGATGATAGCGTGGCAATGGAGCAAGAGTAGGTTGGATAGACAATCCATTATTAAAAGCAGGTGGTGGTCCTTCAGCAGCTATTGCAGCTGCAGTTTTTGCTGCTAATTCAGCATAATGCTTTTCAAGCGAGTCAGTAGCAGACGTCTCCGCGACGTCCATCCTTCTTCGCCGTTTTTATACAAATGAAAGGTAAAATGCAAGATAAGAATTCGTTTCTTTAGAAGAAAACATGCAGCAATATAAGAACGAGAAAAAGAAAAGATGTATTCTTGCACAACCTTATCATGACATTTCCCTCTCACATCACACCAGAAGGTAATTTTACAATGAGTGATTCACAAGGAATCTTTGGGTGCGCGGATGTGAGCGTGGGTATAGCCTTTGCTTTACATACACCCAGTCATGCTCTTATTTTGAAAGTAAACGCATTTTTTACAGAATTTCGTACAAATACACAAGCTTTTTTACTTTCATATTTGACTGAATTGGGTGTGGACGTGAGTGTTAGGGTTAACTTGTCTCTACTCTTACATCCACACCCCACACTCAGCATAATATTGTTTCTCATCAATATCAATTGATAAAACATTCTTATTCATCGATATTTGAAATATGAAAATGAAATTGTTCGATAGTCCTACTGATTTAAAGTCTTCAAAACTTTTTTTTCTAAATAATAAGCTTTGAATTGTAGAAAAAATCATAAATGTCTTATGAAATAAATCGTTTTCAAAAGAATTGCCGTTCATATTAATAATTCGCTTGCATGTTTGTAATAAGAAATTTTTTTTATGACTGATGTACTTCTCAATGTGAAAATTCCCACAAGATTTCATGCATGAATTACCCGGTTTTGAGCAGTGATCGAATTCTTCAGTAGAAATTTTACTCTCAATAGAAATACTATTTCTTTTGAAAAAAAAAAGGTTTTCGGTTAAGTGTTGAACGTTATCGATCAATTGCAACTGAATATAATTATTTAATTGAACATATGAAATTAAAATAAATCCATACTTTTTAAACCAAAATCAACTGAAAAGTATCAAGTATTTCAAACTTTGTTAAATTTGTATTTAAATAAAATCGTCTTAGGTAATAACTCGTTGTATGCAAATTAAAAGAGCATCGAAAATTATTCATTCATGTGATTATTTTGAACAAGCATTTGAATTAATGAAAATGTTGACGCAACAATTGAAGTTGATGTGTGCGTGTGCGGGAAGAGAAGACCTATGCAGACAACTCTTTTCAAGCTACATCTTTATTAACGAAAAATAGCTATAGTTGCAAGTATGTTTGCTTTTATTTAAGGATCGATCGCTCAATAAGTTGATTAATATGTCGATGAACATTTGAAGCAAAACGTGTCAAGAAGAATAAAACCAATACATTATGAATGATGATAGTGATGCGTTCGCTTGGTACGTTTATGGCTGATTGATCTATTCGATTGCTTATTCATGCTTTTGCCAAGCCAAAAGTGTACGGGAGAGCTATAAACAAGGTCGCAATAGAAGCCATAGTCTCTTCCTAAGCGCCATTCTATCTCATATGCAGATTCTCTTTTCATTCGCGAGAGCCATTCAGTGACCTCGTTTGCAAAAACCTGCGGATTAGATATTCGAAATGTGACACTTGATAAATGTTCAGCTCGCTCCAAAATCATTTTTACGTCGTTCAAATACGTGATATCAGTATCAAGACGCTTTATATGACGAGGTAATTTCAAACAGATAGCATTAAAAGTTATCAGCTTGATTCTCTCAGAATTATTGCAGATTATTTGAATTGAACGAAGATTCCATGCTCTTTTGAATAGAGTTTTCATTTCGGCATCCAAACTAGCAACAAACATACACTCGCACCGAAAATCTAAAAGCAATTTTTCTAGACTTGATAGATAAACAATTGTCGAAAGATGTTCAATTGAATGAAAGGACCATTCTTGATCAATGATCAGTATCAGTTCTTTTACATTTCGAAATAAATAATCCGTTCTTGAATTAGTCTAAAACAAAAATTTGTAATCTTTCAGGAAATCGAAATATGAATTATAAAGCTATTCTAAGTCAAAAAACCTTCAAAACAGTACAGATCGTCTTTCTATTAAAGCAAGAAGTCTTTTCAAAGAACATCGATGTGTTGTTGCAAGCGTTCTTAACTATTCATCGAAGAATAAATTATTCATAATAGTAAAAAACAGTATCTTACATAAAATTGCCTTATTCTCAAAATCAAGTTTTACCGAAAACATACTGAATGAGCTCCGTTTCTCAGACATTGTAAGATCAATCGAATACAAATCTTTTGACAAGTACAGTCGATGCAAAAATTTTACTATCGAGTAATCAAAAATAGTCGATTAATTGAAAATAATAAAGAGTAATCAGTTGTTTTCTATCAAAAAACTGCACAATATCATCAATTATAATCGATTAAAATATTGCATTTATCACTTACTACTTCACTACTTCTTAATCAAATAAAATCAAACTAAAACTAATACTCAACCAGAGCAGTGCTTAGTAGATGTGTAAACAGATTTTCATGTGAGTCGAACTCTTCATAGTTTTTATTCATAAAAGAAAAGATTACAAAGATTTTTTCTAAACTGCTACCATTTCCCAGTAATCTGGCGAAGGAAAAAAGTATGGAGTGCAATGAGTTATTTTGAAAGTTGAAAATATGCATCCACAGCTTTCTTTTAAACCACATCCCTGCCATTTCCTTTAACATCGAAATAAAGCACCTTCCAATAGCTAATAATACTTTGAAGTTCCAGATAATTAGAGACTTTTGAGGCTATATTTCACCCACTGGTAGGAGACTACTGAAGTGTAACAATTTTCAAATTGTTCATTGTCTTTTTGTGTTTTTGTCGAGATATCGAATTATTAGTAAATTTTTCGATGAAAGATCGAACTCTTCAATAAAGTTGTATTTTTTAACTTTTTAATTTGAAACTTGGTTCACATGAAGATCTCAATTAGAGAAACTTATGTAACAATTTTCAGAACTTGTCGATGTATTTTTTCCGAAATATGCATTATGCAAAATCTGCATGCATTAAATTTTCGAGAACTGTATACTAGAAAGTGGACCATTTTTTTTTATTTGACCTAATTAAATTACCTAATTAGGTGATTTCACTGAACACGCTATTCTATTCTATGAATTGATGCAAACGAAGCGTTGTTTGGGAGGGAGCTCAGACGTTTTCTGAGACCCTCTTCCATATGGTTTGAACAAGACTATAATTGGTGACGTATTGAAGTAAAAAAAACTAGAATTGAATTGATCGTTAAGCAAAAACCGTTTACTCCTAGTCAGAACCAAGCTTGGGATCTAAAAAACTCGTTATCGTACATCTTTAGCTGGAACATATCAATTCCTACAAAATGAACTGTTGGAACAGCTCTCAAGATCGGAATCAATATGGAACTCGATGAAAAATTGTATATTTCGGAGAGAGTTCACCGAAGAATTTCGAAAACTCGGTATACAAGTTAGCCTAATTCAGATCTTTATGTGAGCAAAGTTTCAGATAAAAAAGAATTTAAAAATACAATTTCTTGAACAGTAAGAGACAATTCGGTGATCTCTCACTGCTTAAAGTTGTTTATGATACACCTTGTCTATGGGAGAAACGTTGGCAATACGAGGAGACAGTTTTTTTAGCATAGCTGCGTTTAGCACAACTTTTATTCTACTATTCGAGTTCTGTCCATTCAGGCCGGCCCATAATTTTCCGAGAAACTCCGACAACAATGAAGGATGCATTTAGCAACAAATATAATGTATTAAAATGCCTGATCACCAGAAAACAAAAATCAATCACTTTTTGTTTGAATCGTAGCATTTTCTTAATATTCAATTAGTATGAGTGTAAGCACAAGAAGAAATTACTGATTTGAATATGTAAAATAACGCTCACCTTTTGTGAAATACTGTCAGTCATCATTTTGCTAAACTCTAAAAATAATCGATGCACATTAACGATGATTGTTGCATTGTTATTAGCGGTGTTCAACGTGGAATGCATAATTGTTCCTTGTTGGTTAGTGTAATTAAAGTATTCTTGGACGATTGGTATCGAATATATATAGAATATCTGACTGTCTTCCTCGTACCTACAGTCACATTTGACAAGCCATTTTTTAGTTGCGAGCCAGAATGGTGTTCGAAATGGTAAAATCAACGATTCTACAGTAGGACAATCTGGGTCCACTTGTTGACAATAAGAAAACCAGAATTCAAACTTATTCAATAGAGGTAGTTTCGTTTGAATGAGATTCTCCCATCTAAAGCCATCCAACAATGAAAGTTCAGTTACAGAACTCCGGTCGATTAGTCGAAGATGAGTTAGCATAGGTAAGAGTGAAAGAAGTGATTCAACATTGACTACTGGTATGCTAATACAGTTGTTTAACAAGAATGAAGTTAAATGTCTTGACTGTGGAGTATCAGAATCTGTAACAATAGGGGGTTCGCGTAGGTCCCTATAAATATATTTTACGCGAAGTGTTCGTAGATAAGGTAAGTGCCTAAGAATAGAATAAGCTGTACTCCAATTGCAGCAATAAATTGTCATGTGTTCCAAGCCACATTGAATGGACCATTGGATATCATAGGAAACCTGATTGTGGTTTTCGAGCTCGAACTTACGAAGATTATTACATGATATGATAGATGATATTGATGCTGTTGGGTCGTCATCATCATACTTTAAAAGAGCAATTGAAAAAGTTGTAAGGCGACATTTCATATGTTTTTGAAATTCATTCAACTCTCTGTTGTGGACATTAATGAGCTTCAATGATCGTAGTTGGATGAATTCGTCAATACGAAAGTGGGAAAGAAATGATCGAATTTGACCTGTTGTCTGCATTTCATCCGAAAGCGTAAGTGAAATGACATTTCTAGGATCAATAATACGTCTTATGAAACGTAGATCAGATTTTAGCATATAACGGAAGTCTAGCTCATAACGATTATAGACATTAACAATGGAATAGAACCGTTTGCACACATATCGTATTAAAAGAACTATTGTCTGAGCATCGAGATGATCAAAAATTCGATGAACAAGCTCAACAGGTAATGTTTGAAAATAAGATTTCTTTTTATTAGACATGAATCGTTGTACGTCCAATGTAGAAGAATTATGTTGTTTTTTTTTCAGCTGTACATCACATTTGCGCATCTAAATCACGTACGAACATTTAACGATGTGTTACAAGCCAATGTATAGAATGAAAGAAAACAGAAAGAGTGCTCGCATATTTATTCAACGAAATGTTAAGAAAGAAATGAAACAACAATTCGCTGATTCATCTTCTAAATGTTGCACATGAAAATGCAATAACCTACATTTGAAATTATGACAAAATTAAAACCAAATTTTTTTTGGAAAACACTAGATTTCGTTTTTACAGCAGAAAAATCATTAATTAAGCTAAAAAATGCGAAGTGAAATAATATTTCTATTCGGAGAGTTTGATTGCAAAATTGGTTTCAAGAGAAATCGTATATACATAGAACATTGATATGAAAAAACTTGAGAAAAGCTTAGTGTCATGAAGAACTTGAAGTGAAAATTTGGCTCTTCCAAATTTGATTTTATGCAGACGATGATTAATACTCATAGGCAATGTACGCTTAATATTGTTCAAGAATTTTGAACTGACGAGGGAACATTCCCAAGTGTCACATAGCTTTTGAGTCGAGAGTATGAGCATCATATAGGCCCTAATGATCTATGAATAACCTGAAAAGAGTTCGTGCTGCTAGCTTATTGCTGTCGAGATATTGTATTTTTACGATGTGTTTTTAGATGAATGCCGTGGTTCCCCTCAGGAACACCAGAAAAACTGAGTTTATAATTTTGACCTGAAACTTTGCATAGANCATGCACTAAATGTATTTCAAAACTTTCAGAAGAATTCATGAGACTTCAAGAGACTTCAAGAGACTTCATGAGACTTCATGAGACTTCAAGAGACTTCAAGAGACTTCATGAGACTTCATGAGACTTCAAGAGACTTCAAGAGACTTCATGAGACTTCGAGAGACTTCAAGAGACTTCATGAGACTTCAAGAGACTTCATGAGACTTCAAGAGACTTCAAGAGACTTCATGAGACTTCAAGAGACTTCACGAGACTTCAAGAGACTTCATGAGACTTCATGAGACTTCATGAGACTTCAAAGACTTCAGGGACTTCAAGAGACTTCATGAAAATTCATAAAACTTCAAGAGACTTCAAGAGACTTCAGAAGACTTTAAAAGACTTTCAAGACTTCACGGCTGAAGTCTCCGCTGTTTCCCCCTTGCTTATTCCATAAAGTTTAACAATATCAATATATTTATTCGTCACAGTGAACTTGAAAAATATTGAAGTTTTATCGAGATATCCTTCTCACAAATCTATGAAAGTGAAATGAGTTCAAAGAGAAAAGAGCTAGGACAATGCGTTATCGTGAAATATCATTCTAGTATGGAAAATGTGCTGTTACAATGGTTCATTGGTATACAAATAGAAAGCTTACCAGGAATGATCGAAGTATATCTCACATGTTCAATGTGTTATTTTTCTCTGTGAGGTATTCAGATGATCCAAAAGTAATGTTCAATTTTGAGTTTTGTTCGTTTATCTATCGATCCTGAAAAGCAGGAGCTTAAGGTACAAGTTCGAAGTATGCGACGAAAGTTTAATAGTTCACTTAGCAAATCGTGAGACACTATTTCTGTTTTGCTACTGAATTCGTTGAAACTGTTCGAAATAGATTATTGTTCTAAATAATCGACAAATTCGTTTTCATATATGATTTTATTACATATTCAATAAATGGAAATAGAATGGGTGTGGGTTTGAGTATTAATTAAAATAACACTCACACCCACATGCTCAACTTAATACCCTAGAAACGAATATGATGACGTCTATATCTTATGTTTGACAAGTAAAAGGATGTGACCTTTAATTTCTAATACAGTAAATTTTACTAGAATCATAATCTCTGACTCTCAATAATATCGCTTTCTTGTTCGAATTCTCGTTTCTTAACCTATTTATTAAAGACTTCATTTTTTCAGGCGATGATTGCCACAGTAATTGAGTTTCTATGTCGATTCTTCTCAGAATGTCTGGTCATCTATTGATATGAAGTAGTGATTTGAACACTGTCGAGTCGTCGGTGAATCTAAAGAACCAGTGCAGATATCAAAAATCGTACCAAGCTTTCTAGATCAACGTTTTGATTGATTTTGTTAATGAGAAACTATCTCATCAGCTATATCGTTGACTGAAACTTCTTGTTTTTTTTTCTTTTAGTTCGATCACGATCGGCAGAATATTGATTTTCTTTGATTCGTGTATTGCTTGATGTCACGAAAAATTATAAGGCACTGATCTGGAATCTTACCAGATATTGTCTGTCGCCGTACGTTTGTGTGCAATTCTCAAAGCACCAATTCTATAGAATCTACTTTCATCGAATATGATGAAAATGACATCAGAAGCTGTCTTGTGAAAGCTTTAAAATGCTTAATTTTGCAATATGTAAAATGTCAGTTGACACTAAGATAGCTAGAGGCCTGCGGTTTTCACCATTTGAAAGAGGAGACAAGATGATGCCTTTTTCACTAATATTGTCTACGACAAAATCATTGTAAAATCAGTTATTTCTCCAAAACATTGAAAAATTTATCAAAACGGTCTATCATTTAGATGAAATTTTGAGACGAAGTAGAGAAATATGCATTTAAATTAAAAGAATACCATAATTTTCGTGCAATTAAATAGACGATTTTGTTTGTTGAACATTAGGATGTGAAGAGATAGTCATTTGAATTATATCTTGAACTATAGATTTGAAATCCCTCTACCTAGATCAAATGTCAAAATCGAAATTTCATTTGAATAACAGATCGTTTTGATACAGATGTTTTATGCTTTGTAGAAATTACTGATATTGAAATGATTTCGTCGTAAATGATATTAGTGAAAAAGGTGTCGTCTTGTTTCCTCTTCCGAATGGTGAAAACCGCAAAGCTCTAGCTGTTTTCGTTCAAAAGTTATGAACATTGTTTGCATTAGTCATCTTTTAAAATTTCAATAATATGTGTAAGATAAAAGTAGAACGCAAAGCGAACATCAAGCAGCAGCAAATAGTATTTAGAGCAATTCTGTATACGTGTGAGTAAAACATTTTAATACAGTTATAAATGACATGGTAAAGCAAATCATTAAATATTTTTCCAATCAGATTAGGGTATTAAGTAACAGTTCTGTTTGTCAGAATAATTCCATCAATTGATCGTGCTCGCGCGAGTTGTTCGTCAAGGACATTGACATCATGAAAACGGCTTCGCGTCAATGATGCATTGGTGAAGTCTGCATCAGTTAAATCTGTTCCATTGAATATACATTCAAAACATTCGCTATTAGTAAAGTCAATATTACGCATAATAGCTTTAGTGAAATCGTTCCTTATCATTTTAGCACTTGTGAAATTGCAGAATGATAAATTTGTCTCGACAAAGGCTGAATTCATAGAGCGACTTCTAATCAAGGAGCACTGATTTAGACTCGCCCTTTTGAACGAACATTGGATGAATTTTGCATAAGAAGCATTGATTCGTGTCAATTTAGCTTTAAAAAAATCAGTCTGATTAAATGTAGCTGAATATAGAGTACTATCAATCAAATTTGCCATAGCAAACGCAGTCGAAACTGAGAGTGTCTTATTAGCGGGATGCTCATAACGCTGATACATTGAATAGCTCAGGTTGGCTTTGTTTAAATTAGTATTAAGAAAGTAACATCCGTTGCATGTAAATCGTTGCAGTTGAGCATTGATCATCGAAGCAGATCCAAAATCTGCTCTATCAAATTTAGCATCCACAAACTTGCTGTTGTCAAGAGAGGCGTACATGAATGTAGCTCCAAAGTGTGCATATTTACAGTAACCTTTAGTCACTAAAATATTTAGAAGATATAAGCATGTTTTTTTTCTTTGTTTATATATATATATATGGACAAATTTGCTGTATCTTTACTAAAGTATCATATATCTAATTTGAATACACCACTGATCCAGTGACTAGTTTCAATCATTCATTTTCACGTGATGTGACTAATTATCTTCTTATAATGTCGTCTTGTCAATAGCATTGACATAATCGATATCATAAGAAAAACAAGGAAAATATGAGTGAATTTTGGCTGAAAGAATAAAGTATCAGAAAAACTTTCATCATACATCACGCATGATCTAAATGTTTGAACACAATGCAATTACTTTAGTAATGAACAATAAAATATGCAGTCAAATCAATCAACACTTCCATTACTGTTTTTGGTCTTGTCTGCTTAGTATCTCAAGGAATAAAATGGCACAAATTTCTTACTATACATCGATACTTATTTCCAACCATACCTTACATCGATAACGTTATCTCATTAAGTTTAAAATAATCACACGCTGCGAAGACTTTCCTTTGCCACAAGTAGACGTGACCATTTACAGCTTCTCCAGAAACTGATCTCTTATTTTGGTTAGGTCGTTTAATAGTAGTTTCTGGTTTATGAGGATATATGATGCAATGGGTATAACAACGGCTACTCAGACAACAAAATATTCCAAATACCTACAATATCATATTACAGTGATGTAATTGTAACTATTGAAAGATAGTTCATTGATATATTAGCAATACACGTACTAGGAGTAGCCTTATCCTGACAAGGCTTTTCATCAAGAGGGATTACTTTAACATCAGAGTTCTAACCACACCTTTATCTTCTATATGCCTTTGACATTCGATCAATATTTTCTTTCATTCTTTTTATACTTTGTATTCTCCAAATTCTCTGAGTTTTTCTATCTTTTACAAACTGATATAGCACTAATAACTTCGTGAATCAATTTCATGTAGTTAATCAAACAAAGAAGAAACTGATTTAGTTATTAAAAACCATTTTAAGAAGATCTCATGTAATCAGTGTTTTTACAATTTCATATTTTATCTAGACTCACCTACGTGGTAGGCAACACAAGCCGAGAAGTCACAGTTATCCATTTGAGCTCGCTGAAAATCTGCACCACTCAAGATAAGATATCGAAAAGACGATTGTGTCAGCACAGTTTGTCGAAGATTCAAACATCGAAAATAAGCTCTTTCCGTTGTCTCCCGTTGCTCTAAGCCGAGATCAAGTCCTGTCATATCGGCAGACGAGAGTGAGAGTCCATCAGGAGGCGATTTGCTAATCAAGCCTGATTCGTAGAGCGAACGAATGATGAATGCTTTTCGTTTTGAATTCAATTGTTGCAGAGCAGCAAGTGTTTTTATTCTGACGATTTGACGAGTCGAGAGACTTCCATTAAGGTCCATACCATTCGTGGCCAGTTGATTAACAAGAAAATCAAGATATTGAACAAGAATCGTCTCTTTCTGCTGATCGTTGGCAATGGCTATGTTAGTTAGATGCGTTTCATTAGCTAGTTTGGCATCTTGGTGTCGTCGCTCTTCGGCAATAGCGAAATCTTGTCGACGATTATCCATTGCGATCTTCAAGCTATTGTTGTGTTCAATAATAGTATAGATAATAATTGTCATGGGCACCGCAAGAGCAATGAGCAAATGAATCCACTCGAAGCACGAACAAGAACGCTTCTTCTTGTTGGCATCTACCGAATTTGCTTGCAAAGCCATTATCACATTGTCATGAATAGCAGTGGCGTTTTTATTCACCATCAACTTTTAATTCCGTGGTTTTGCAGTGAATTAAATGGATTTATGGTCTAAAGAAATTCGTTTTCTTGGAAATTCAAAGCCCTTCGGAAACTACTTCTGACTCAAAAACCTTTGCATAAATCGTATACATATCTTTGAGTACCTTCGGATTTCTCAACTTTTCTATGCGGAAATTTTAGGATTTTCTAGTATAAAAAATGATCGAAGTGTTTCTTAGATATCAACTATGGTTTCTGGACATTGCTCAAAAATTCCTAACGATGTCTGAGTATCGGAAAGAACTTTGAGTTTTCGAAAAAAGCTTTGAAACCCTGTTAATTGTCATGGACAATTCAAACGGTACTCGAATATGCTATGTTTTTTCTCGTTCATATCGTGTAATTTTGAACTTTAGGAGTTACTATTCATCAGGATATGATTCTTACTTAATTTATGTAAAATAGCTTTGTCAAAACATTAGAATCCTAAACATGAAAAAAAAAGGCCTTGTCATAAGAAAATCCTGACTTGTTATTAAATCTCTCTTGTTCTATTAATTTTAATGAAATATGCAAAAACTTCAGTGAGAGAATCGAAGAACTGCGCTAAATTGGTTGGTCACTCAAAGAATGTTTCATGTATTTCTAGTTCTTCATTTACTCATGCTTCACTCAATGTTGAAACATTATTAGAATGCGAAGAATATCAAGTATAAGCAGAAAATTGTCTTTATTTTAGATGGATAGAGCCTGTCGACTTACATAGAAACACTACAATCTTAAAGCTGAAAAGTTGGTTTTCAGCAAAATAAATTAAAAGAATAAGTTTTTTGAAAACATGCGAAAATGAGTACAACTTCGAATGTTACGTGAAATCTAGGTATTTTTCGTCATACTAAAATTCTAGAACTAGTATTTCGTAATTTTCCATGTAAAACCGTGTAAAAATTTTCGACTAGCCGTATTTGTGATCTGAAATGAGCTGTGTTCTCTCAGGATATTAGCAAATTTGCGAAAAAGCTTTCTGAGCACTTACACATATGTCAGGTGTTATTGTAGGATGAGAGAGTGTGTGAGATGCAGGTTATGGTTAAATTCTTAACTGAACTCCTACTCACATTCACACATACTAATGTAGGAATTCATGCTATTTCATATGATCCTCCAATCAATCTAGGGAAAAAATATTTAAAAAGCTGTCATTAAAAAAACGTCAAGAATCACATGTGTTAAGATCTGTACGTTTAGTTTTGAAATAAAACCAATATGTGGAAAGGAATCGTTGTTTGAATGTTATTTCAGAATATGTTGAAGAGTATACTCGAACTTAATCAGATAATGTAATTAATGTGTCGCATTGTTGTTGGATAGAATGAGTCGTAACGACAATCTCGCGTTGCACTTTGTGGCACATTTTTATCTTTGTGTACGTGCTTTTTTTGTGTTGATTTACGAATTCTTTTCCACTCAACACCGAAGATAAAAATAAATAGAAGATAATGTTGCAAACTAAATGCCTGACATATTTACTCGCAACTGACTGATTATTACATGTAAAAAAAAATTGTATGCTAGCCGAGTTTAAAATAAGAGAACTAGTAAAGGAAATGAATAAAGAATCAGTATTTGGACTTTACACTGCTTGAAAAATACTCTTTCGATTTTTTATATAGAGGACAAGCCGCCTTTTTCAATCGCAAACATTTGGATAACTGTTTTTGAATAGGTCTTATTGCAAAGATAAACTTTCAGATATAGCTTTGAGACATAACGAGGTGATTTGAAAAAAAGCATGTATGTGAAATCATTTGCGTTAGTATTGATTTAAGAAATGGCACATAAAATGCTTTGTTAATGTTACAAGAATCGAAGAAGAGAAAACTAACATCAGTCGTATCTAACTCTTGACAAGTGATCCTCACTCTTGTAAAACGTATTGATAATATGTTAATTCATTCATTGTTACTATGGTCGGCGATATCGATCACATTTGATATCAAATTTCATCTTTATCATACCGATCAATTTGATAATACTGCTGTCAATCGGACCAGATATGATTGTTTATACCATTATGAACGCATTTTTTCTCTTGTATATCCTTCGCCGAAGCGGATGTGGGTGTACATGAGTCTTTCTTACTAATTTACACCCAAACCCCACATCCACACTCACACTCTGCAAGATATTTATCCTTTATAAAACTGTTAAAGGTACGCTGTAAAAAAAAGCGTAGAATAATAAACCCTTTTTACCGTATGTCAAGATTTTCATAAACCCTTGCCAAGGGTTTATGATTTTTCATATGCCCTTTCCTATACGCTCTCAAAGGCTATAGGAAATGGTTTATGAAAATCAAATATCCTTCGAAAGTGTATACGGAACAGTTTAGGAGCCATTTCTAACTAAGATCTACTTAAACTAAAGCGATTCTATCTGAACTTTTATTAAATAAAAAAGAAATGATATTTCTAACCAAGATATACGAAAACCAATGCAATAATATCTCAATACCAATCAAATGAAAAAAAATGATATTTCTCAAACTCAAATAATAATATCAGAATTTCAACGCGATAAAAAAAAGGATTTTTCTAACTAAGATTTACAAAAAGTAAACGGATAATTTTTCAATGTTTAATTGATAGAAACAAATTGATATTTCGAAATAAGATGTTTTCAAAGTATAAAGCCATAGTATCTCAATTTCTATTTGATAGGAAAATGATTTTTCTAACTTAGACTTACTTAAAGTGAAGGATTAATTTCTGAAAGTTTATTTGATAAAAATAACTGATATTTATAACTAAGCGTTTCTGAAACTAAAGTGATAATATTTCAATCTTGATTAGATAAAATAAATCATACTATTTTTTGAGATATACTTAAACAGAAAGAATACTATTGAAGACTTCGGAAATGAAAAATCTGACATTAAAATAATGAAACTAGTAGAAAAGTCGATGTATATAGATTTCATTGAGTCAAACTGGAATTTTCATGTATTTAATAGTGCAGTTTTGACTGAAGAGGAAAATTAATTATACTCGGTGGATTAAGATGTTAGTTTCAATCAGTGCTATTGTGGGTGTGGGTAGGGATCTTCTCTTCACTCACACGCACATCTTTACCATTAAATAGAAATAACTTGTTTTCTTACTGCATCTCATAGACAAAAAAAAAAAGTATTTTTTTCTCTCGTTATTGAGTTGAATACATAGTATGCTGTTTATCTTTCAGCTTGGTAAATGTTTCTACTTTAAATGAATGAATAGTTATTTTCTTTTTCATGCTGTTTCATCTTTATAAATGTTATTTATTTCGTTCATTATTGAAGGTGTATGGATATTTAGAGTCAATAAATGGGTTACACATGAATATGATGTAATTAATCATTTTTATAGATATAATTATTGTCATTCCCTATTATATCGATTTACATTTTTATTGTTATTACTTGTGCTTATCAATGTTTTTTTTTTATTAATATATTCTGTTCGTCAAAACGAAAATAGAAAAAAGTTATTTTTCTTCACAAACAATATTTTCAAACAGAGTCTTTTTTCAAATATAATATTTAAAAATATATTCATCAAATAAAATTTTCGTTCTGGATAGTTCTTCTTTCGAATAAATGAAGGAAAATTCAATCAATTTTAGATTAAATAATTAAAACAATAAATGAATAATTATTTTTTTCGACAACTGTAACAATGAACAGCGAAATGTAAGCATGGATTATTATATACTAGAATAATCAGTACCAGAACACTTACCACCAATGAATTGAGCATGCACAAAAAACTTAGGATAATCGGTGTCAGTATATCTATTGGCCTATGAATGTGTCTCAGTGTGTCTATTTGTCGATGTTATTCATCTCCTGGCACCTGCCAAAATTCAATAGTAAAATTTCAATATTTTAAACCTATCCGATAGATTACAAACAATATTAACAAATTATCAATCGACAAATATAGAAATATGTCTCTATTTGACAATCAAATTAATAAACAGTTGAATGAATCATTTCGTTTTAAAAAAAACATAGATAGGAGACTGGTTGGGATGTAGGTAATGAAAAGAAGAACAATCATGCACACGTACACCCGCACCATATTCATCGCTATTCGAAATATGTGAATAAAATTCTTCGATAAAGTTACTAATTAAAAGTCTTTAAAACTTGTTTTTTAAAATGATAATTGTCGAACTGTAGAAACAATCATCAATGTCTTATGAAGCAAGTCGTTTTCAAAAGTATTGGTATTCATTTTTATATAGTAATTCACTTGGATGCTCATTACAAGAAATTCTTTATATAAATAATGTATTTTTCTATTTTGAGCAATGATCAAATTTTTCAGTAAAAATTTTTATTTTAAATAGAAATATTTCTTTGGAGAAAAAAAAACAACTTCAGTTTAAGTATAGTACATTTTCAATCATTCATGTGATTATTTTAAACATGCATATGAATTAAATAAAATACCAATGAACATTTGAAATCATGAGTAATGATAGTGATGTGTTCGCTTGATATGTTTGTGACTAACTAATTCATGCGATTCCTTATCCATACTCTTGCCAAGCCAAAAGTGTATGGGAGAGCTAAAAACAAGGTCAAAGTAGGAGCCATTGCCTCCTCCTAAACGCCACTCTATTTGATATGCAAATTCTCTTTTTATTCGCGAGAACCATTCAGTGATCTCGTTTGCAAAAGCCTGTGGGTTAGGTTTTCGAAATGTGACACTTGATAAATGTTTGGCTCTTTCCAAAATTAATTTTGCATCGTTGATATACGTGATATCAGTATCAAGGCGTTTTATA